TTAACTCGTGACAGTACTGCGATGGCTTTAAATATACGTCATATCGGTCAACAGTCGGTAGTATTTAAAACAATAATTTTATTTAATATGTATTTAAAAGATGACTGTTCGGTTTATCGGTGAGCCGGATGAGGGGGGGATATGAAACTCGCGCATCCGCCTTTCCACATCAAAACAATCCCCAAGATTGTTTTCACTAACCGTCTAATATTAACGCATCGATTTTCCTTATTACCTTCATATAAAAGAAATTTTTTTTAATATAGTTTTTTACAATTAAATACGATAATTTTTCAAAATTTTTCTTTTTAAATATTCGTCGTACCAGTCAGCAGTCGGATTCTTATTTTAATTAATATTTGAAGGTCCGGTAGGTCGAAAATGGCGGTGCTGCGAGTAAAAGGTGAGAGAGAATGTTAAAAAGTTGTATTAACGAAAAAGAGTGAATTACGACGAAAGAGAGGGATGGTGGGGGTGGTTGGAGGGGAAGATGGAGGGACGGGTGGAGGAGGTCCGGTGAGCCGAAGATGGTGGAGGTGCGAGTGAAGGATGAGAGAGGATGTTAAAAAGTTGTAATAACGAGAAAGAGTGAATTACGGCGAAGGAGAGGGGTGGCGGGGATGGTTGGTGGGATAAGGGAGTGGGGCGGGTGGAAGAGGTCTGTTGGGCCAAAGATGATGGAGGTGCGAGTGAAAGGTGAGAGAGAATGTTAAAAAGTTGTATTAACGAAAAAGAGTGAAATACTGCGAAAAAGAGAATCGGCGGGGGTGGGGGGGAGGGGGGGGGGAGAGGCGAGTGGAGGAGGTCCGGTAGGCCGAAGATGGTGGAGGTGCGAGTGAAAGGTGAGAGAGGATGTCAAAAAGTTGTAAGAACGAAAAAGAGTGAATTACAGCGGAAGAGAGGGGTGGCGGGGGTGGATTGTGGGAGAGAGGGAAGGGCGAGTGCAGGAGGTCCGGTAGGCCGAAGATGGTGGAGGTGCGAGTGAAAGGTGAGAGAGGATGTCAAAAAGTTGTAATAACGAAAAAGAGTGAATTACAGCGGAAGAGAGGGGTGGTGGGGGTGGATTGTGGGAGAGAGGGAAGGGCGAGTGCAGGAGGTCCGGTAGGCCGAAGATGGTGGAGGTGCGAGTGAAAGGTGAGAGAGAATGTCAAAAAGTTCTTAAATACGGACGGACAGACGGACAGACAGACAGACAGATAGAGAAGGAGACGTTTCTTAATTTTTCATTAAAATCATCACTTTTCGACCGCTTGTATCTCCAGACGGGCTTGACTGATTTAAAATTTTTTTGTCTCGAATTACTCGTGGCGATGCCGCCTTTCAGGACATATGGCGTTCAATTCAAAATTTTTTATATTTTAGTAGTTATGCACCTCCCAAAAATGGACTTTGGTGGCTCGGGATAAGAGACTTGTAGCGTCTCTCAATTTTTGAACATGGCAGAAGACGCTACCGCGCGTCTCCTGATAATGCGTTTCTATGAACAAAGAGAAATATTTCCACGAGATAGCGATCAAGAGATATTCGAACTTTACTGCTATGAAGTAGAACGAAAAATGAACAATGAACTTAGACGCACGAGTATCGTAGTATTATAATAATGAGAAATAGAGCGAGAATGATCGCGAGCGCTGGTTTGTCGCCTGTTAATATAAGGCCAGCTTGGTGATTGTGACGTGCGAAATCGCCGAATTATCCGGATAGATGGGCAATAAATAATTTTCTTAATTTTCAGTTTTCTCGGCAATTAGTAATCGCATCGATCTGAGATTTGATGCAATCATAGATTGATTGTATCGAACGCATTCTATCTAGTCGATTAATCGCTAGCAAGTGAGGAGGTGCGCGCACATGCCGTACCTATTCCAGAGTATAAGTTTTTCATTAGAGAATTTCGGAGTCATCGCGGAATCAGATCGTAGCGCGATAACAGCGTGCTTTCACGTCCCACACATTATTTTCGCTGGTAGTACTTCGTAGTGATTACCGCGTGAAAAATAGATTATTTAACATAAATTAGCTCGGAGGCAACAATTAACGTGATTGCAATGTTATTTCTAGCATCAGTTTTTAATCGAATATTAATTAATTATTCGCAATCGCGTTATTACTTTTCCCTTACATCGCGCTACAACTCGGTAGGTGATTTTGAGATTACTTAACGGCGTTGAGACTCATTTTGCATTCGGAACATCATGCCGCTTTTATTAATTATTTCAATATTACTGAATTTTTACAACAATTAGCGATCTGCGTGCCGCTGGACGATGGTATCGACCTCTTTCGCGCATGCAGCAGCTCGCAGAAAAAATATCGGCTAGTAGATATATACGAACGGCGAGGAGATAAAGATGATCGGACGGAAGGGAACCAAAATACGACAAGCTAGAGCGCCGGACGTAATAGCCGATGATTTTCATTTTACGCAGATTGCGCGACCCGACCATACCATGTACAAGCATTTGTTGTTTTCCCTTTTTACCAATGTTTCAATTGTTAAATAATTACGCAACTTTAATTATGTATACATGTATTTATGCGTGCACATTTATTAAGGCGATATAGACGTATATAATGTGGTTGTCACAATTGACGATTAATTTTATCAGATAGATAAAAAATTTTGTTTTATTTACTTGGAAAAATTTATTCAATAATCAACAAGGATTCTTCCTTATATTATCTCCCTCTCATTCGATAATTTTTTTTTTTAAAAGAACACTGATTTATCCTTTTTTTAACAGACATACAAATTAAACCCTTCAGATTTATAATTAACGCAATAATACTCTTTCTACAGTGTGAATTTACGTGTAGTGTACAGAAGAGTATGATTAATTTTTCTTTTTAAATAAATTGTAAACGTTCTTTGCTTATCATCTGTATTATTTTATGATGTTTTCTTACATAAATGTGCTCTCATAAAAATAATATTTACTTCTATTACTTTAATATATAATAACATAGATTTAAAAAAGGATTTAAAAGTGACACAAATGTAAACAACACAGTTGTATGCGTAGATACAGCACTTCAGTAAAATGTATGTTATTTAAGGAAATATACATGTATATTTTGTGTGTAATAAAAACTTTTCCTTTGGTTTTAACTTCTAAGTCTTGTCCTTATAAATAAAATTGCTATTAGAAACAATACGGTACAATAATATATAATAGCTTTAAAATTATGAAATATATTATATACATCGTTACTTTGCCTTTGTTCATTTTTAATAATTTGAAAGGAAAGTGGATGCTTTATTAGATAATAGGCAATCGACGTAACGATAAATTTGACGAATAATTTAATATATATTCGCATTAACGAAAACTGTTGCCATAGCCTGTAGTTTTAATTAATATTCAAAGTTATTATTTTTTTGTTATTACTAATATATAACATTGTTTAAGTCTCTTAAATGACAAACTGACTTTGCGTATGTGTGTACTTTTACATGTGAGTTTAAAACTTTAAGAAAGCATTTACTTTTTTGCGTTTCAAACTAAAAATCTTAGGATTGAATATGTACTCGTTGCAGTCGAAACTAATTTATATCAAATGTTATTATATAATTGCCACTAGATTTTTTATTATACTTTTAAATTTTGTAATACTATAACTAAAAGTTTATTTCACATGAGAATTTTGTTACGCCTCTTTCCATGATCCAAATCTCTATGTATAAGTTAGTCTCTCTGTACCAGTCTTCTTCTTCATTTAATATATTGATAGCAAAAAATTCAATTATTAACAATAAGTCGTAAGGGGGAATGCCTATCAAATTTAAAATCAGATAAACGAATAATTCTTAATGAATAGATGATTTGTTGGATAATGGTCGATTAAAGTGGACTGTATTCACTGGATTTCACCTTTATTATGATTAATGTGACAAGACGCACGCTATCTTTTCGGAAGTCTATCGCCATCTTAACTTGTTCGTTTTTCTCCCCTCTTAGTTGCGCGAACGCCACCACGCAACTGCTTAGCGCACGAAACGCATCGAATGCAAATAATGGGCTTTCTTGAGCCTTTGAAAATACTTTATCTTTAGACTTGTTGAATAAAATAAAAAAATGAAATGAACAAATCTCAGCAATTGTGAAAGAAACTCAACATACCCCCCGACATTGAAAGGTACTTTCAATATAAACTATTTGTTTGATTGTATAACTAATGACGCTTATTATAGCGTAAATAATTTCAAACTTAATACTACGCGCAAATACTTTGATATATGCGGTCCCTGACCGGAAAATAAACTTAATGAACAACTTAAATTCTAAATCTGAACTATAACTAAGTGCAATTCTGCATAAATGCGATTATTTTAATGTTTACATGGTGTTACTCCATCGGTAACGGACAAAGTTTCGCGATCGCGATACGCGTTGTTCCTGTTGAAATCTGTATGGTAGCCACCCTGGCTATGTTGTCCTTTCCTGGATGGATTGTTTTGATACGTCCAAGCCTCCATTTGAGTGAAGGAAGGTTGTCCTCCTTGATGAGCACCATAGCGCCCTCAGCGATGGGTTTGGTTGACTTCGTTTTGTTTACACGCTGTTGTAGCTCTGAGATGTACTCTTTGCTCCACCGTGTCCAAAAATGCTGCTGTAGACTTTGAATCAATTGCCATCTTGACAACCTGGATTCTGGCAATTCTGTTAGTGTGGGATCTGCTGGTGATGTGAGCGGACGACCAACCAGAAAGTGAGCAGGAGTGATGGGAAGAAGATCGTTAGGATCGGATGACATTGGAGTTAAAGGGCGAGAGTTTAATATAGCTTCGACTTGAACTAATAATGTATAAAGCTCTTCGTATGTTAAAATCGCGTTGCCTGCCACTCGTTTTAAATGATGTTTTGTAGACTTCACCCCGGCCTCCCAGAGACCACCAAAATGTGGTGAGTGCGCGGGTATAAAATGCCAACTAATGCCAATTTCATTCATTGTGTTTTCGATAGATTCCGTGTGATTTCTTAATAATTGCTCTAACTCTTTTAATTCTCTATTTGCTCCGACAAGTTCGTTCCGTTATCGGAGTACATGTGTGCAGGTTTACCACGTCGAGCTGAAAAACGTCTAAGTGCTGCGATGAATGCTTCTGAGGTTAAATCAGATACTAATTCGAGATGAAGTGCCTTCGTGGCGAAACAAATAAATAAACACACGAAAGCCTTACTTGTTTTACTGCCTCTTCCCTTTCTATCTTTTACTATGAAAGGACCTGCATAGTCCACACCCGTGTTATGAAAGGGCATGGTTTGAGATACGCGTGCTTTCGATAACTCTCCCATTGGAATTGTTGACTGCCTGGGATTGCTCCGAAAACATCTGATGCAATCGTGCACTGTTTTTCGAGCTAAATTTCTGCCCCCGATCGGCCAGAACTGTTGACGAATTGAACTTAAGAGTGATTGTGGTCCTGCATGCAATAAAGTCAAATGTTCGCCTTTGAATAGAAGTTTTGTAAATTGATGATCTGCTGACAAAACAATGGGATGTTTTTTATCTGAGTGAAACTCTGAGTTTTTTAATCTCCCGCCTACACGTATGAGATTGTCTTGGTCAATAAACGTATTGAGTGCTGCTAATTTTCCATGTATAATGGAATCACTTTGCAGAAGTATTCGCCTCTCTGTTGGAAAGGATTCCTCCTGCGCTAGCTTTGCAAGATTGTGTAATGAGTCTTTTAGCTCAGTTGCTGTTAGACATGCTGACTCAGATCTACTTCGATTTTTGCAATTACTTATAAAACGCCTGCAATATGCGACTATTCGAACTAAACGCCTTAGGCTATTACTAATTCCAAATATGAATGATTTAGTTGGTTGAATGTGTCTAACTGCACAAACTGTACGTCTTACTTCTATTGTTGGAACTTCTGATTTGGGTGTAATAGGCCATTTATCTTCTGAATTTGATAAGAATGACGGACCATGCCATCAAAGCTCCGATTGCCATAATTGATTGGGAAATACGCCTCGCGAAAGTAAATCGGCTGGGTTTTCTGCTGTTGGCACATGTCTCCAGTTGCGAGTATCAGTTAACTCTTGTATTTCTGCGACACGGTTTGATACAAATACTTGTAACTTGCTTGGTTGCGTTTGTATCCAATTGAGTACTATGGTGGAATCACTCCAGTATGTAATCTTGTCAAACGATATGTTTAATGAACTTAGTATCTTTTTCATTAACCGTGCGAGTGTAAGCGCCGCACAAAGCTCCAGTCGAGGTATTGTTTGTTGTTTGAGTGGTGCGACTCTTGTCTTAGAGCACAACAATCTTACTTCACTTGTATTTTGATGATCTATTGAACGAATATATGTGCATGCTCCATATGCTCCTTGTGCTGCATCTGCAAAACCATGTAATTCGATTCTTGTGTAATTCTTGCAAATCACATGCCTAGGTATCTTGATTTGATTCAGAGCGTTTATTTGATTGCGAAACGATATCCAAGTTGAATGCAAATCTGATGGAATTGCTTCATCCCATGACAATTTGTGCATCCACAATTTCTGTATTAGAATTTTCACCAATACTAAACATGGACTCAAGTATCCTAACGGATCGAATATACGAGTTGTGTCGGACAGTATTTGTCTTTTGGATACCTTTAGCGAAGGTAATTCCTTTATGTTGTAAACTAGCACATCTTGATGAGCTTGCCATACTAAACCAAGGATCTTTGTTTGTAGACATTTAAAGTCCATTCCGATTGAATTTTGTTTCTCTGTTTGTATATCTTCTATGACTGTAGCCTCATTTGAAATCCATTTCCGAAGCTTAAATCCTGCTGATTCTAGCACGTGCGAAACCTTTTGTACTATATCTCTTGTTTTCTCTCTCGAATCTGCTCCGGTCAAAAGATCGTCTACGTAAAAATCTTGTCGAATGATTTTTGCTATTTCGGGCCATTCTTGTTCGGTCTCCTTTGCTAATTCTATTATGCACTTCGTTGCGAGATAGGGTGCTGATGCAGTGCCGTATGTGATTGTATTTAACTCGAACACTTCTATTGGATCTTCGGGATTTTTGCGCCATAATATCCTTTGTAACGAGCGCTGTTCTGGAGCGATGCGTACTTGTCTGTACATTTTTTCGATATCTGCTGCTACTACATATGCATGGCTTCTAAATCTGATAAGTATTGAAAATAAATCATCTTGTAATGTCGGTCCGACCATTTGAATGTGATTCAATGAAATACCATTATCTGTGGTTGCTGATGCATCAAAGACTACACGAATTTTTGTGGTTAAGCTCTCACTTCTGATGACCGCATGATGTGGCATGTAATAGGCGGTTGTTGCTTGTGAAGTATTGTCTATCTTGCTCATGTGATGTAATGTTTCATATTCTTCAAGAAATGCTGTATATTGCTCTTTAAGTGTTGGATTCCTTTGCAATTTGTTTTCTAGACTATTCAAACGTCGTAATGCTCCTTTGTATGATTCACCTAAAATGCTTGGATCTTCCTTAAATGGAATGCTAACAATAAATCTACCATTTACATCACGCTTGCTTGTTTGTGAGAAGTGAAGTTCACACTCCTTTTCTTCTTGAGAAAGTATTTTCTGATTTGAATATTCTTCCAGTTCCCAGAACTTGGCCACTTGTTCTTCAATGTTCATGGATTTGCTCAAATGACAACGTATTGACGTTGCGCTACTACTTGCCAATGGACCTGCAACTATCCATCCTAATCTTGTCTTTTGCATTGTTAATTGTGTTTTGCCGAGCTTGAATTGGCCTATACAGAGGAGATTCCAAAACCAATCCGCCCCTATAAGCATGTCTACCTTTGCAGGTATATGAAACTTAGGATCAGCTAAAGCAATGTTTGAAGGAATCTGGAGATTCTGTACATTTACCTGGCTACTAGGTAAATTGCCTGTGATTTCTGGTATAACAAGACATGACAACTGAAATTGATAACTATTGATGCATGATGTGATTTTGACTCTACATTTGTGTTTTACTTGACACGATGCGCCGTTGATGGCTTCAAGATTGACGATTACCTTTGTTTTTTCGAGTTGCAATTCCTCACTTAGTTGGTTGTAATTAAGCTAGATTGCGATCCTGGATCGAGTATCGCACGAACCTTGTGTTTCTTGCCTTGACTATCTTCCACTAATATTGTTGCTGTTGACAGAATGACATGGTAGTCACTTGCCCTATTGTGTGAACACAAGACTGATGAAGAACTATTGGTTTCTTCAGTGTTCCCTGTTGACTCAGACGAGACTTTTTCGAAATGCAATAATGTATTGTGCTTGCCGGAGCACTTTCGACACGTGCCGCCCTTGCAAACCTTGATAAAATGACCTGGTTTCATGCAATTAAGACATAATTTAGCTGTTTTTAAAACTTCTGCTCTCTTTTGCGGAGTAAGTTGCAAGAACTTGGAACAACTTGATAGGTGATATGCTTCTTTGCATACTACGCATTCTTGCTTTTGAATAAGAAACGATTTTGACTTTATGTGATCTGAGTGTTTTGACTTGTGTATGCCCCCTTTGTTTAATTCTAATGTATCCAACAGATTCGCTCTTGAACTAAGAAAAGCTTTGAATTCTTCTAATGTAGGAAGCTCTTTATCCACTCGCTCTTTCTCCCATTCTCTTGCTGTTATACTATCAAGCTTGCTCGAAGTTAAATATATTAGCAATGTATCCCAATGCTCGGTTGACTGCCCTAATGCATTTAATGCTCGCAAATGTTTGTTTAATGTGTCTATCATATTGCGTAATTGAATTGCTGACTCTTCTTTTATTGAATTTATACTAAAAATAGCCTTTATGTGATTGTACGTTAATAGACTTTTGTTATCGAAACGATTGCAAATAGTTTCCCAAGCAATAGCATAATTGGCAGCCGAAAAATCGAGAGATTTGATGATTTGAGACGCTGCACCTTCTAACGAGGCCTTCAAATAATGGAATTTTTGTATAGGATCTATTGTTTCGTTTGTGTGTATAAGTGATTCGAACGTATCTCTGAACCCGAGCCATTCATCTACATTACCTTTAAATTTTGGCAATTCAATTGTAGGCAATTTGATGCCCGTTGGTTTGAAAATAATATTTTGATTAGCTTGTCGCGATAGATTAGGAATAAAGGCAGTATCATCAGTTACCCGTGCGTGTGATCCTCGTGTTGACTCATTCATCGCTGCACCTAGAAGCTGTTGTGTCATCTTACCACGAGCAAGTAACTCTTCTGCATGTGCCACAACGTTAAAATAATCCTCCTCGAACCTTTCTCTGTATTGACTCGTGTCTGTTTCGTCGTTTGTAAGTTCATCGATATTGGCCTGCACTTCATCGTACTTTTCGTACACCTCTCGAATAACGGTAAGACGTTCTTGAATTTCTAACCTACGTGTATCTTCTAATGCCTGTGTGGCGTCTGGAAAACTATGCATAACTTTAGCGATATATGTTTTGAATGTAGTGACTCTACTTTTGTATTGACCTCGACGTTTAACGAGTGCTTCCATTGTGTCGTTGCAATCTAAAGCTAAATGTATTACGAACTCTTTGTATTGTTTCTACGACTATTTGTATTGTTTCTATAACTATAATTTGAGGTTAGGATAGGATTGGGACGTGCTCACTGACTTACTGTGTTGTCGCTCGCTGCCCTTGACTGTGCTACTGTGATTGCCGCGCCGCTGCCAAGCCTGATTGATCGCTGCGCTCGATGCTAGATCGCCGTGTTCCTTGGCGTGATTGCTGCTCTTGCTCTATTCTATGGCCTTGATTGAATGTTCAACGGCCGCAATGCAATTTCCGAAAATGCGTCTTGTGTTTAATACGAGCCTTGCGTTATGTTTGCAATCTCGTGTTTTACAATGAAGATAGCTTGCCTTGATGTGCACTATGCACGATGTCTCGATCTCGATCGTTACGGTAATCAAAGAATGCCTCGTGTCTCGTTACCGTTTATCTCGTCGATTGTGTAGCTCTTCTCGAATCCACAGCCTATTCCTCTGTGGATCCGGCTCGAAGGACCAAATTATGTTGGATAATGGTCGATTAAAGTGGACTGTATTCACTGGATTTCACCTTTATTATGATTAATGTGACAAGACGCACGCTATCTTTTCGGAAGTCTATCGCCATCTTAACTTGTTCGTTTTTCTCCCCTCTTAGTTGCGCGAACGCCACCACGCAACTGCTTAGCGCACGAAACGCATCGAATGCAAATAATGGGCTTTCTTGAGCCTTTGAAAATACTTTATCTTTAGACTTGTTGAATAAAATAAAAAAATGAAATGAACAAATCTCAGCAATTGTGAAAGAAACTCAACATGATTAGTACTCTCAATTGATATATAATTCTTAATCAGATATATTATTGTTACAAGAATTACAGTACGTACCTTTAATTTACGAAAGACGTTATAATGTGTTCATTAAATTCATTACACTACGTAAAACACTTTATAAAAATCATCAACTTCAACTCTAACCGATACGTTGTTAAAAGTACCGTAAATAATGACTATTCAGTAAATAATTTGGTACTTATTGTTACGTCCAAACCCTTGGATATCTGAGTCGAACCGCTAGGAAAGATAACGAAGGAGAATGGTATGGAAAGACGTTTAGAGCCGAATGATTTTTATCGCTTCGGAATATGGGTCAACGTTCCAAAAGGACGTTGTATCATCTGATTCCGATGAACAGTACGAACGTCGGGCTGAAATTTGGGAAAAAGATCAGTCAAGGAATTTAATCCTTAAGTTGAGATTGGACCATGTGCGATTTCTAGAAAGGCAAGAGGAGTGAATACGATGTCTTAGTTTAAAACAAATAGATCGAGGTTTAAAATAATAAACATCGAGGATTATTGCTTAAGTTCTGTTGGTTAAATGAGCAATGACGTACATATAT